CGGCTTGGCCGCCGGTGAGTGCCTGTTTACGACTCCTCAGAAAGGGACGTCCAAATCCCGGAATTTTAGGGATACTCGGGTTTCCCGCTCGGATTTTGTGGGGTTGTTAAGGGGATCTTGGAGATGCCCAGCCTCTCATACATATCCGATCCGTTCCAATCTTACCGATGGGAGGGTTCCCATTTACAATCAAACTCTAAAAGGGGACACGAGTCTTGCGTATATAATTACCAACCCAGTGCTGCGGTTGATAGCTCACCAAAATCAAAACCCGTTTTGCTGTAGTGGAGCTAGCACTGCGAAACCCCAAGTGCCCTTCTCGGCGGCCTTGGTTCCTCTGACCTGCCTCAAGTGAGGCTATGCTCTGGTCCAACCTCGTGACAGTTGCTTGAGTGCTAGTCATGAATGAAGCTAGAATATTTTCCAGCTTTGTCATCCGATCATCTGGGGCAGGAGCTGCTGTTGGCTCGGCATACTGATGCTGGGGCTGCTGGAATGGTTGCCCCTGCCAAGGCTGGTAGGGCTGCTACTGTGGGGCTGGCCCCTGTCTAGCCTGGAAAGGCTGCCTCTGCTGAAAACCACCGGCTGGTGCTGGTAAACCAGGTGGTTTAGTGGTGTTGCTGCTCCACGCCAAATTGGGATGCTGGCGCCACCCCTCATTATATGTGTTGCTGTACGGGTCGAGGCGCCGAGCATTGGCGATGAAGTCCAACTGCTCTTGGGGAGTAGTAGACTCCCTCATAGCCTGGCAGTCTTCCACTAGGTGATTTGAGCTCTCACACCACTGACATTGAGCTACTGGAGGTGTAGCCAAACCTCTGCCCGGAATAAGACTGTTGGGCTGCTTCAATGTCTGCACTAACTCAGCTACCTGCTGCTCGAGCCCGGATCTGGTCTCCATGGCGTGCACACCACGGTCCCGGGAATGTATGCCTCTGCTGCTCTGCCCCCAAGAATGATCTCTGGCAGCCAAGGTATTGATCATCTGGTTCAGCTCGGGTGGAGTCTTAGTAAGAATATCTCCTCCTGGGCATAGAGACTCAATCACCCTCTAGTTGTCCGGAGAGAGAGCACTGTAGAAGTTCCCCACTGTGAATGCATCACTGAAGCCATGATGGGGACACTGCCAGAAATATCCCATGTACCGCTCCAATGCATCACGAAGTGACTCATCTGGCTCTTGGCGGAAGTGAGTGATCTCCCGCTGGATCTCTGTAGTCTTCGATGCCGGATAGTACCTGTGCACGAATTTGTCAGCCAGATCGTCCCAAGAGGTGATGGACAATGGGGGCTGGGTCTCCAACCACCTCTTAGCATTCCCCGCCAGAGAATGGGGGAAAAGGTGAAGGCGGATTGCATCATCGGGGACACCGTTCAGCTTAAACCCGTTCGTCAGCTGCAGAAAACGGGAAAGATGCACCCTGGCCTCCTCATCCTTCAAGCCATGGAACTGGATAGAGGATGTAATGAGCTGAATCCAGCATGGCTTGATCTCGAATTTGTTCGCTGGAATCGGCGGGTAGAGGATGACCGGGCGGATGTCAGCAATCCGTGGAGTGTAGTAGTACTCCAATGTGGGACCCGGCGGCGGTGGATGATGATGAACCCCATCTGCCTGGGGTATGGGGTTGTTCCCCAGGACCTGATTCACCGGGGGAGCCTGCTGAGGATTCCCCTGGTGTGGATTGTATTCTCCGTCCATCCCGTACTCTTCCTCAGAATCGCTACTCAGGTGGCCGTCTATGCGCTCTTCCGTAGCCAGTCTAGCTCGCTGTTGTCTCCTGAGTTGGCAACAGGTGCGGTCAATCTCTGGATTCAACGGCAGTAAACCTCCCGACTGGCTACGGGTCATGCACTACCTGCACACATTCAAGCAAGCAAACCCGTGAAGGCACAGGTGGGACAAAGCAAACAATGCGAAAAGAAAAGCTAAATTAACATAAATCACTTTTCTTCAACAACCTAGCCGTCCCCGGCAACGGCGCCAAAAACTTGACTCACTTCTACTGTCACTCTAGGAATTGGCCAAGTGAAACCACTTCCTAAAGTGTAGTATAGCGGGTTTGGGTTTTAATGTCAACCCGAGTCCTAGATTTGATGACTACTCGGTGAATTCTTGTTATCTAGCAATGAAACTTTAATGCAAGTCTAAACTAACAAACAAACAAAGCAAGTAAACGGTTGTTTTCAGGTTAAGAGAGGTCACCCGGATATGGTTCCCCCTAGACTGCAGTTAAGCCGGATTGCAATTACCAAGTTCAGTTTTTATGATAGTTATACTGCGGAAGGTTCTTAAGCAGTCTGAAGTCTCGACTAAAGGTCTCCAGACCCTCTCAATCTGAGTCTCCAGCGGGCGACTAACCTCCACTGGAGTAAACAGATTGAGGCCCTAACAAACAAAACCTCCACTACCGAAGTGAATTCGGTACAGAATAGTGAGTTGGCTCCTCGACTAAAGTCACCAACTCCCTACCTTAAATCAAGGATGCTCTATCAACCTAGGCAGATATTCTCATTCTAGGTTAAAGTAGAAACAACAAGAATTTGATCAGGATTCATGCCATTCAATCATTCAAACCTCAATTGAATATAATCAAATCATAGAATTAGTACTTGGGTTCATACAATCAAACCTAACATACAAATCTAGGGTTCTCCATACCCAGATGAATGGGAGAACTACTCCATGAAGAAAGAAGCAAAAGCAGAATCAGATGCGGAATTCATACTGTGAAGGATGGATTCCTGCTCCTGGACGTTGATCGGCACTTCTCCAAGCTCAAACCAAGCTCCAATGGTGATGAAGATCAAGCTAGGGCACTTGGAGACTCTTGTTCGTCGTTTTCTCTCTCTAGGAATCGCTCTGTCTCTCTAAAACTCGAATCCCCTTCTGTTTTGGCTGAAATCTGCCTAAAAAGGCATCACTGGGCAAAACACGGTCGAGGGCACGGCCGTGCTTTGCTCCAGTCCGCCCGTGCTTTGCCCCGTGTTAAAAACACGCCCGCGCGCGTCAGCCAAAACACGGTCGTGCCTAGATATGGGCACGGCCGTGTTTTGATTTAGGCGCGCCCGTGTTTTTACTGCCGAACCTGTTCCCCTATATTCAATGCTTCGTTTCTCCCTTGTCCGGACTCCGAATCAGTCGCCGTTTGATCCTAGACGCTCGTAGTCTCGTCCTCTTTCTTTTCATGACAAGCTTGCATGATTATTTGTCCATAAAGTGAGGTAGAAATCCATTCTTCTTCAGGTCATGTCCGAGTTTCTTCTCCCGAATCGCCAATTGATCTCTGATTGACTTGAAACTTGCGCCTATGCTTCACTTTATGTGCTAGGATCTTAAATGTGACAAAGGAACACAACCTAGCGTAAAATAGGCCAAACACGCGATAATTAAATCTCAAACGATCAAGAAACAAAGGGGAAAAACATGGGCAAATATCGAGTCATCAGCGACTTGCTGGTTTTTTTACCTCAGATAATCTCGGAGGGTCAAAATGCTTTTATTCGAGACCGACAAATCATCCAAAATATCCTCATGGGGCATGAGTTAATGCACTATTTGAAAATTAAGATACGTGGAAAGAAAGGGTACAGGGGTCTAAAGGTTGACATGGAAAAGGCCTATGATAGAGTTGAATGGCCCTTTCTTCTCGCGGTCTTGGAAAAAATGGGTTTTAATTCCACCTAGAAAGGATGGATACAAGAATGCCTCCGGTCCTCGTCTTTCTCCGTTTTAATGAATGGCACCCCTTCGGGTTACTTCACCCCCTCTCGAGGCCTCCACCAGGGGGATCCTTTGTCTCCTCTCTTGTTTGTGCTCTGTACGGAGGGGTTTGCTGCACTTCTTCAGAAGTCTATTTCTGAAGATAAGCTTGGAGGAATCAAGGTTGCTCCGCGGGCCCCGCGGATCTCACATATGTTGTTTTCCGATGATTCATACTTGTTCCTGTGTGGGTCTCTCCATGAGTGCGAGAACTTAATCGAGGTCTTGAGTGAGTATGAGGAGCTTAGTGGCCAGAGAGTGAACTTGGAGAAATCGGCAGTGTGCTTTAGTCGAAACATTGTTCTGCCGGACCAAGAATTCTTGGTTGCGTTGCTGGGAGTTGGGGCGGTGGGGGTTCATGATAAGTACCTGGGTTTGCCCACGCTGATTGCTCGGTCCAAGATGGATACCTTCCGGTACTTGGAGGAAAAACTGCTTGATCACCTCCAGGGATGGAAACAGAGGACGCTTTCCTGGGTGGCTAAGGAAACCCTAATCAAGTCCATTGACTTGGCATTACCGTTGCACGTGATGTCCTTCTTTAGGCTGCCTCTCTCGCTGTGTCGTTTACTGGATAAACATGTGGCACGATTCTGGTGGGGCGTTGAGGAGAACCAATCGAAAATTCGGTGGATGTCATGGCGGAATATGTGCCGGACTAAACATGATGGAGGAATGGGGTTTCACCGTTTTGAACATTTTAACCAAGCTCTTTTAGCAAAAATTGGCTGGCGCCTCCTCCAGGAACCCCAATCCCTCTTAGCTCAAGTCTATAAAGGGTAGTATTTCCCGAATGGGTCCTTCCTATTGGCCACGACGCGTTCTCGACCATCGTGGGGGTGGCAAAGTAATGCAGCCGTTATATCCTATATTAATAAGTTGTATCTCTTAACGAGATGATTATTTTACTTGGGGGGAATAATCTCTTAATGAGATATTTATCTCTTCAAAGTGAGTGAAGGGGTGTGTCCTTTCATTTCACCGACTGTACGTTTCTTCCTTGTTTGCCTGATAAATAGGCAGGGCAGGAAGCCTATGGGAAGAACAGAGAGAAGAATAACATAATAAAATTCCTCAATAACATTTGTGATCTTTGGGTTGTCTACTCTCTCGTCCGTTCGTACGGTAACGAACTTAACTCTATTACTTTCGTTCTACACCAGTTGGTATCAGAGCCTGGTTTCTGCAATTTTTCTGCAAATTGCAATCCATTTGTTTCTGCTGCAAACAAAGGATGATGGCCGCTGACAATGAGCGCCGTGACAACTTGGAACAACAGGTTGCCGGTATAAATCAATCCCTACAAGACATATTGGCAGCCCTTCGCCTTGGTGATCAACCCCATAATCAACGGATGCCCAATCCGCTACCGCGTCGGGATGATCGTGATGGGTACCGGATCAAGGCAGAGATTCCAATCTTCAATGGCAGCCTGGAAATTGAGCCATTCTTAGACTGGCTTAATGAAGCTGAACGGTTCTTCGAAATTATGGAAATTAGCGACGAAAGGAAAGTATCAATAGTCGCATACAAATTACGAGGAGGAACCGGAGCATAATGGCAAAATATTCGGGAAGAACGCTACCGTCTTCGTCAACAGCCAGTTCAAGATTGGCCGCTGATGAAAGAACTTCTTCAACAGCGATTTCTTCCTCGGGATTATACCCAAAATCTCTACCGCCAATTACTTGACTATCAACAAGGAAATCATTCGATTTCTGACTACACTAAGGAGTTCTTACGTTTGAAGGCCCGGTGCAACATCCAGGAAGACGGCGACCTTCAAGTTGCACGATATATCCGGGGATTGAACTCCGAGATCCGGGAGCAGATTGGAGTTCAAATTTTCATGTCTTTAATGGATGCCCGAGAGATGGCTGCACGAGCAGAGGCACGATTGACCCCGCAACCCCCTCGGCTGACTTATCCCCGACGAAACTACCGGGATACTCCTCTACCTCAGGCAACCGAAGCTGCTCCTCCATGAACTCCTCCTATCAATCGGGCGGCGACATCACAAACAGACAACAGACGTACACCACCTGTTCGCGCACCTGTCAGCCCTCGAGTTGCACCACAAACCACCAATCAGAACCCTTACCAACATCCGACAACTGGAAGGTGTTATCGTTGCAAACAATCCGGTCATAAGTCTAATGAGTGTCCCAACCGAAGGCCGGTGCATATGGTGGGTAATCCTTCTGAAGACGACACCAACGAATTTGAGAATCAAGAACCCGAATACGATGCTGATGACATATGTGGCGATGAACATGATGTGGCCACCTATGTGATTCAGAGGACACTTTGCTCTCTCCCCCACAAGAAGGTTCCAGCCAACGGAAGCAGATCTTCCAAGCAAAGTGTCGTGTTGGTAGTCAGATATGCAGCCTCATCATAGATAGTTGCAGCTGCGAAAATTTGGTTTCCAAGAAGCTGGTTGAGGAACTTCAACTTCCAGCAGAGAGTCATCCCACTCCTTATCAAATTGGGTGGATTCAAAGAGGTCCAAAATTGACAGTGAACCAACGCTGCAAAGTTCCTCTTGCTATGGGGAAGTTTTACTCTGACCATGTATTCGGTGATATTGTGGAAATGGATGTTTGTCAGGTGCTCTTGGGACGTCCCTGGCAATACGACATGGACGCAACACACAGGGGTCGAGATAATACCTACTTGTTTTGGTGGCAGAATAAAAACATAATCATCGCACCGCTAGGAAGTCCACGGCTTACAACTAAAGTGGAAGGGCAAGTTTTCTTATCGGTGTCGGAGTCAATCAATACCTTTGGTTCTGATGTGAAGAATTGCGGAGGCGTTTATGGTCTGGTTATCAAACCTGATTATGGAGAAGCCACAGTGCTCGAATCTATTCGGAATATATTGGATGAATTTCCCCAGCTCGTTTCCGAGCCCACTCACTTACCACCGTTGCAGGATATTCAGCATCACATTGATCTTGTTCCTGGTGCTCAATTGCCCAATCTTCCTCATTACAGACTCAATCCCGAGGAAGCAAGAATACTTTAGGAGAAGGTTGAAGCGTTACTACAGATTGGGCATATTCGGGAAAGCTTGAGTCCATGTGCTGTCCCGACATTACTAGTGCCAAAGAAGGGGAACCAATGGCGAATGTGCGTGGACAGCCGAGCCATCAATCGAATCACAGTCCAATATCGGTTTCCCATTCCTCGATTGGATGACATGCTGGACCAGTTGTCGGGATCAGTGGTTTTCACGAAGCTCGACTTGACAAGTGGATATCACCAAATTCGCATCCGACCGGGAGATGAGTGGAAGACAGCCTTCAAGACCAAAGAGGGGCTATACGGGTGGCTTGTAATGCCCTTCGGCCTCTCCAACGCACCAAGCACGTTCATGCGGCTCATGAATCAGGTGCTCAAACCTTTCCTCAACAAGTTTGTAGTTGTGTATTTTGACGACATCTTAATTTACAGTAGCAACAAAGAGGTTCATAAGGACCATTTGTGTCAAGTTTTGTCTGCACTCTATGACAATGAGTTGTACATCCACCTCAAGAAGTGTCATTTCATGTTGGAACAAGTCTTGTTCTTGGGTTACATAATGGGTAAGGATGGAGTTCGGATGGATCCCCAGAAGGTTCAAGCTATTATTGACTGGCCGACTCCTTCAACTGTCACCGAGGTACGAAGCTTCCATGGACTGGCCACATTTTACCGGCGTTTTGTCCGTAATTTCAGTAGTATTGTTGCTCCCATCACTGATTGATTGAAGCAATCTCGTCCCTTTCAATGGACGACTGCTGCTGCTCGTGCTTTTGACGAGATCAAGTACCGTCTCACCTCTGCTCCGGTTCTCGCCTTACCAGACTTCGATAAGGTGTTCGAGGTAGAATGTGATGCATGTGGAACAGGAGTCGGGGGAGTCTTATCACAAGAGGGGCGTCCAATAGCTTATTTCAGTGAGAAGCTCAATGAAGCAAGGGTCAACTGGCCAACTTATGACCAAGAGCTCTTTGCTGTGTTCAGAGCCTTTAAAAATTGGGAGCATTATTTGCTGCCAAAAGAATTTGTCATCTACACCGATCATCAGGCTTTGATACACTTTCGAACTCAACGGGATTTGAAGAACAAGCTTCACATTCGTTGGGCATCATACTTTGGCTAGTTCAATTATGTGATCAAACACAAATAAGATTCTTCAAACAAGGTGGCTGATGCTTTGAGTCGATGAGCAAGCAGTCTTCTTACTGCTAGCCATGAAGTTGTTGGCTTCAACTTCCTTCCGGAACTCTACGTCGACGATCCCGATTTTGGTGTCATTTGGTCTAGGTACTTGGCAAAGCAGCCGCTTGGAGAATTTACCGTGCAAGAAGACTATCTCTTCAAAAGTAACCGGCTGTGTATTCCTCGCACTTCATTGCGGGATAAATTTGTACGGGAACTCCATGCGGGGAAGCTCCAAGGCCATTTGGGGCATGATAAGACCATTGCTCGGTTGGAAGAACGGTATTACTGGCCGCAATTGAAAAGAGATGCTGGTCGGATTGTTCGTCAATGTTCCATTTGTCAAACTCAGAAGGGTCAACTTCAGAAAACTGGATTATACATGCCGCTGGCCATTCCTGATCAGCCGTGGGAAGACTTGTCGATGGATTTCGTCTTGGGATTACCTCGTACTCAACGAGGGGCCGATTCCATCTTTGTTGTAGTAGATCGTTTCTCCAAAATGGCCCATTTTATCCCCTGCAAGCAGACCAACAATGCACCTCACATCGCCAAGTTGTTCTTCCAAGAAATAGTTCGTCTTCATGGGCTTCCTCGATCCATCACTTCCGATTGAGATCCCAAGTTCCTGGCTGTATTTTGTTCCACTTTATGGAAGCGATTTGGAACTGAAATGAAATTTAGCAGCACTGCTCATCCACAAACCGATGGCCAGACTGAAGTGGTGAACCGAACTTTGGGCAATTTGTTACGTTGTCTGTGTGCAGAAAATCAGCGCCAATGGGACTTTGCCTTGGCACAAGCAGAGTTCGTGTACAACAACGCTCCCCATCGAGCCACCGAGATGTCCCTGTTTGCGGTCGTTTATCGCCGCACTCCTGCAACCACTCTTGATCTCATCAAGCTTCCCACCGGGTTGAAGAAGAGTGAAGCTGCTGATTTGTTTGCTCAGTCTCATGTGGATACCATTTCCCAAGTGAAGCACAAGTTAGAGCAAGCCACTGCTCGCTACAAACTTGTTGCCGATCGTCATCGTCGTGGTAAGACTTATCAAGTGGGAGACTTGGTGATGGTCTATCTACGCAAAGAGCGTGGTGGCAGCCAGCGTAAGCTAGACCCAAGGAAGATTGATCCTTTCAAGATTATCTGGAAGATTAATGATAATGCTTATGTCCTTGACCTTCCAGAACATATGCGCATTTCCGGCACTTTCAACGTTGCGGATTTGTATCCCTACTACTCTGATGATCAATCCGAGACGGCTTGAGCACAAGTGGAAGGGAATAATGCAGCCGTTATATCCTATATTAATAAGTTGTATCTCTTAACGAGATGATTATTTTACTTGGGGGGAATAATCTCTTAATGAGGTGTTTATCTCTTCAAAGTGAGTGAAGGGGTGTGTCCTTTCATTTCACCAACTGTACGTTTCTTCCTTGTTTGCCTGATAAATAGGCAGGGCAGGAAGCCTATGGGAAGAACAGAGAGAAGAATAACATAATAAAATTCCTAAATACCGTTTGTGATCTTTGGGTTGTCTACTCTCTCGTCCGTTCGTACGATAACGAACTTAACTCTATTACTTTTGTTCTACACCACAAAGTATTCTGTATGGCTGTCAGTTATTAGAGGCAGGACTTCGGTGGCAAATTGGGAACAGGCAGTCTGCTCCCCTGCTCCAATCCAACTGGATCCCTCAATTACAGCTTGATCCTCCTACGTATAACCCCCTGGTCTTGCCGATTGAGGGGGGTCCGGTGGTTGCTGAGGTGATCAGTCCGGAAGGGGGGAGGTGGTGTGACCGAAAGTTGAGTCAGTGTCTCGACCCTCCTACTTGTGCGGCCATTAAAGCCATCCCCCTTCCGCGTCTGCCGGTGGAGGATAAGCTGATTTGGCATAACACACAAGAGGGCATATTCACTGTTAAATCGACCTATCATTTAGCTGTCACCCTCGATAGAAGAAAGGGCTGTTGGAGGTCAGAGGTTAGCTGGATGGACAAGGCTAGTTGGATCAGACTGTGGGAGGCTAACCTGCCTCCTAAATTGAAGGTGTTTATTTGGAAAATTTTGAATCGCATACTTCCTACGACGGAGGCCCTCATTGCCAAAGATGTTCCGGTTTGCTGGGCTGAATCAGAAACTTTGGAACATTTGTTCCTCTATTGTCTGGTGGCTCGGGCACTCTAGAACTATTCGGGGCTGGCTTCCCTGGGAGAAGGGTTGCCTCAGCACACTTTTCCCCTTTTTCTTAAGCGGTTAATGTCTCTACTAGATCAGCCATCCGTACTCATGGCGGTTGTTGCTGTCCTTTGGAGAATCTGGCGCTCTCATAACTGGGTTGTCTTTGAGGGTAAGCAGTTTGGGATCCCTGCTCTGATGCGTCAGTACAACCAATAGTATGAGGAATGGGTTGGGCTGCCAGTGGATCAGAACTCTCGCTCCTCTTGCACCCCCCACCCCACACATCAGCCGGCGCTGGTGGAGGCTGATAAGCTGGTTTGTATGTGGGACGAGACTAAGAGGAAGGGATCCCACTCAGCTGGGGGGATGATAATTATGTCTTCTGATAGAGTGATCCTAATGGCTGATGGGTTTCAGTTTCGGTCGTCGATGATCCCATGGTAGTAGAGGTGTTGGTACTCCGGGAAGCTATCATGTGGTGCCTGAATCGGGGTATCACGGAGGTAGGTTTTGAGGGCGATGCGAAGGTCATTATTGACTAAATCAACCATGAGGATGCTAGTGATAGTTGAATTGGTTCTATTCTTGCTGAAATTATTCACCACTTGGCGACTCGCTCAGGGTTTAATGTTCGATTTGTAGGTCGGCGTAGTAACAGGGTAGCCCACTTGGTGGCTCGAAAGACCCTCTCTTTGTACCCGACTGCTAGTCGTTTCTTTGATTTCCAGGCCTGGCTGCTCTCCAGGGTGTAACTATCTTTTGTTTCAATCAATGAAGATTATCTTTTGTAAAAAAAAAAAAGATTAATGCTCACAAAGAAAATAGCCTTAGCATAGCCGGGCCTCACCTGCAACCCTCGCAGCAACATTGAAAAATTGAATTAGATCGATCAGCCTTGTGTTTATTTAGCAACAATGCTTGCATGATTGCTCATGGTGGTCCTTGGAATGCTGCTCCAACCCTTGATGAAAAATGGAACAAAAAATTTGGAGTTATTCTCAAGGTTCTCTGTTTCTAAATATGTCAGTGAGCAATTTCACGGACCAAAAAAGATCAGAAAGATTATAATGTACTAACCATTTGATTCATCCAAAGACAACATTGATGGCAGATCGTCCATCCCAGAATTCTTGTATGCAACAGAGTAAAATCTTGAATGAAAAATATCCCAAATGATGAAAGAAATCCTCCCGGAGGTGAAAGATAGCTATTGACCCATATATGGGTTAATTGCATGGTTGGTCACTGAAATTACAAAAAATGTTCAAGTTTGGTCACTCGAAATATTTAAATCCATTGACGGTACTTTAGTTTACTGAAACCGTTCAAGTTTGGTCACTCTTCGTCCAACTCCGTTAACTTTTGCTGATGTGGCAGTCAACTCTCAAAATTGACCGTTAACTTAGTGACGTGGCATTTAAAAAAATAATAAATAAAATAAAATTTAATATATTTTAATGTCCAACTCATTTTTACCATAAAATAAATAAATAAAATAAAATAAAAAATTATAATAATTATCAAATTGAAAGGGGGCGCTTCCTCCTCGTCGGAGCTCCCAAGCCAGCCCAACAGTGGCGCCAGGAGACCCGGGATTACAACAAAAAGCGAATACTGGCCGAGTTGTTTTTTTCAGGTAATCATCCCACAGCAGTAAGCTCCCTCCTTCCTTCTCCACTTCACTCTTCAGGTAATCATCGTTTTTTCTCCTTTATCAAGAAATGGAATACTGCCCTAGTTGTTTTTTATCCCCCAGTTTTCTGAACTAGTTTGGATAGCATCCTCCGCCACTGGGAAACTCTTAGGCGGCATAGCCCTTAGCAACTTCTCTCCTCAACCTATGTTCCCTGATCTGCACTTTATATAATTTGAGCTGTAAACGGACAAAAAAGATACTTTTTTTCTCTGCAAAAGATGAGCCGTAAACATTGCCCCCTGCCACTGTGTTTCTCATCAGAGAGTGGGGGGAGAGACAGAGAAAGTGATGATCATTTACTATGACATGAATGAAGGTGGTGTGGATCAGGATTGGAAGATTACGGTGAAAAGTGAAAATTGAAGAACTAAAATGAATCATAGCTAGGCGATGGATCTCACCTTGTAAGACTCAGCAATGTCATATCCAAGAATTACATCATTCATCTTCTTTGCAAGCAAACCCAGATTTCGATTCAAGGAAAACGTACACACAAACTAAGTAGGAAAGAAGTAGCCATGAAAGATGTACAAGAAGATATCAAAATCAGAGATGTTGGGTAGCTAACCGTATTTGTCTAGGACGATAAAAGACATCATATGGGCGCCATAGTTGGTGACCTTGAGAGACATCTTCCCTCTTTCTTGAGCTCATAACTCCCGATCTTAGTTTCCCCATCACCAGCACCAAAAGCCACTACCAGAAGCGCGCTCAAACTCAAACCGAGGAGCAGCAGAGAAGAACAATATTTGGCCAGGGTTACCACTCTGTTTTTGCTTCTAGGCAGGTCTCCCTTCTCCTCTGTTTTGTTATCTGCAGCTCCCTGATCTGCACTTTACATAATGGGGGAAGGCGTCGCTGATCTGATGAGGAGGAAGTGCCCTTCAATTTGATAATTATAATAATGTTTATTTTATTTTATTTATTTATTTTATGGTAAAAATGAGTTGGACATTAAAATATATTAAATTTTATTTTATTTATTATTTTTTAAATGCCACGTCACTAAGTTAACGGTCAACTTTGAGAGTTGACTGCCACATCAGCAAAAGTTAACGGAGTTGGACGGAGAGTGACCAAACTTGAACGATTTTAGTAAACTGAAGTACCATCAATGGATTTAAATATTTCGAGTGACCAAACTTGAACATTTTTTGTAATCTCAGTGACCAACCATGCAATTAACCCCACCCATATATGAAAAAGACAAACAAATAAACACAACCTGCCATGGTTGTTATCTGCCTCTCCTCTAAATCCACTAAAAGCCACCACACTATCTCGCTGGAGTCGAATCAATCCCCTGGGTTGCTGGAAGCTCTCAACTCGAGCGCTACACAACCAAACAACAAAGCATTTGAAAGCTCAAATAAGAGAAACTCGAGTGAAAAAATGCAGGAACTGATCTGTGTCGAGATTGAGGAAAGGCATTTACTTTCTGAAAAAATGAACAATGGAGTTTGAAAATGCAGAGATATATTGGTTCCCGTGGAGGCCATCAAGCTTGACAATCGATCAGAGATTATGTGCTAAAGGCAACAACAAATACAACCATTAAACCGGTGGATTTTGGCAAAAACAAATAGAATGAAAGACACAAATGAGGGATGATGAGGCAAACCTCACTAATTACAGGCACAACGACTCTCCTTGGAACACCATTCCCTTGGTGTTACCCAGACCACCCCCAACAACGGCGTATTAATCAACTCTCCACTGCCAGCCTCATCGTGTGAAATCTCTGCTGAAAAGAAATCAAAATAAACCATAATTATGAACAAACCCCAAATACAAAGGAGAACAAAATCATGGATGAAAGAGAGCAGAAATAAACCACAAAAGAACCTGTAGATCTCAGCGTTCCTCCACTCTCTCCCTCAGCTCTCGAATCCGCCACCAGCCACCCGATTGCTTTGAGGCCCACCCAACCACAAACTGAGATGAGTGAAATCAACGCAGACCTCAATTTCATATCCAGGAATTCACCAAACAATACCAACTAAAACAACTCAACCGGACAAAGAGAAGAAATAATCACCTAAATTCAATAATAATCTACAGTCTGGATCTTCCCCGCATCCTCTCTGGTTCATCGTTCCAAATCTTGTCTTCGTTGGAGATGGATTCTTGTCACTGGTGGGTTCCTGGCGAGGTGATTCCCCAGTTGCTTGCAACATCAGCCTTCCGTGAGCGGGCGAGATGGCAGAGGAGAGTATGCTCCATAGCAGAGGAACGCAAAGGTAGGAAGCTAATGGTAAACAAGAGGAGGCGCGAGAAAGCGTGAGGTTTTTGGGATTTTCTGTGGGGAGAGAAAATGAGGGCGAAGAAATGATGGGGCGGGAACCCAAAACCCCTTGCAAATGAATCGCGAAACGACGGCACAGAGCGGACCAAAAACGTTGAGCACACCAAACAAAACAAAGTAGGGCCACGGCAATACAACAGCCAATGGGAGAAGAATGAATAGTAAATATGGGTCTGTGTGAACAGAAAAAGTAGTTTTGGTGTAAGGTTGTTTGTGCAAATTACACTTTTTTTTTTTTATCAGAACCTGTATGCAAATTACTCTTACTAATGTGCCATCATAAGATATGACATGAGCTATATACACAAACCAAAGCCTTGTACTATGCAATTCAAGTGTTATTTTCACACTCTATTGTTAGGTTCTCATGCAAAATTGAAGAGACTATTCATTATCTTGTTTTTTTTTTTTGCTCTGGAAACCCAAAACTATTAAGAGTGTGTCATTTGGGGAAAAGTTAATCTGCTAACTTGAATATTCGTTAGCAGATATTAACTGATATCCAAAATACATGAACTAGTATCAAAGTACTAAAGTATCTGGAGAGCACATACTAGTATTCAAAGTTTGCTAACTGATATCCACAACGAATCAACTATTATCACAAATTCACAAACTAATATCTAGACAACACATATAGTATCCATATAGCACATAATTAGTATCCAGAACACATAAGAGTATCCAGATAACATATAAGAGTATCCATATTGAATACTAGTTGGTTGTTTGTGGATATTAGTTGGTATATGCTATTTGGATACTAGTTTGTGATGTTTTGAATACTAGTCTGTGCTATCTAGATACTCAGCAGACTTGGATATTAGTTCATACATTTTGGATATTAGTTAGTATATACTAACGAATCTTCTAGTTAGCCGAATAACTAGGCTGATTTGTGTGTCGAACTATTCAATATGACATTTATGTCCCAACCTATGATAATTATGTGGCATTCATGTACCGATGAATTTGTGGACCAGAACAGTGGTCAACTTGATGTTGACTTTTGTTGACGTGGCAGCCACATCATTGACACCTCGTATTTTTAATTGAAAATTAAATAAATAATAAAATCTTTAAATTCACAATACTATTAATCTTAATTTTGGAAGAAAAAAAAAACCTAAAAGCAATCAGACTCAGGATCCTTCTTCCCTTCTCCCTTCTTCGCCCTCGCCGTCTTAAGTGCGATTTCCCAAACTGTTCGCGACGATTGCTGCCAACGATTGAGACCCCGGATGAGGCAACGATGGAACCACTAAACCCTCAGACATGAACCATCTAATGCCGCCGCCATCAACGATGCAATCTCAGCAACAAAGCGATCATATCGAACCCACCCATCTCAATTCTCCGCTCAGCAAAGGCAGGGTCTGTTTCGCCTCCATCTCCATCGATCGACCCGAACTCAAGGCCAATGGCCACTCCTTCACGAAAACCCCAAATCTCACCGTTACATATCTCACCTGTAGCGCACCCCAACAATATCACTTCTGCTGCATTCGTAGTGAAGATTTATTGAAGCTTGACCCAGTTTCCCTTTTGTAGCGACTCGTGCGGAGAAGACGCAAGGGAAAGAACCCTCCATGTTATGGGGAGGTTTCTAACATTCTCGATTCCTTTAGAAGTCTTTCCGTTCTTGAACTTCGATTCCTCTGAAGCGGAAGCGGGAATAGATAATTAAAGCGCCATGGAAGGATGTGAGAAATGAAGCAACAGGAGCTGAAGCGATGAAGAAGAGGAGGAATCTTGATTTGGAGGGGAAATTGTAGCGATGGAGAAGGTTAACGGCGGCGGAGGCTTCGGGATGGAGGAGGGGACGCTTTTTTGGGATGGAGAAGGTGAGGGTAGATTGACGGGCGCATAGGCCAATTTTTTCTTTTTTTCATTTTATGAAAAAAAATTAAATTAAAATTTAATATAAGTAAGTGATGACTTTCTATTAAATATTAACGGTTAACGTACCGAATAATAGTTCAGGACATGTCATATTCAATAGTTTGGGACACGAATAACACACTCTTGGTAGTTCAAATTTTCTAGTAGTATTAGCCTTTTTTAATTAATAAATGTGACGTTGATTTGTTCTTTTTGTTATTTGATATATTGAATCAATTGGTGTATTAGAAAGATACCTTATTTGGAGGTTTAGATTTTGTGTTTGTTGTAAGGTCATAAAAGTTAATTTTGAGCGATTGTAAATAATCTCAACAAAAAGTAGAGATTGATAATCCCTCAATTTTGAGTGATTGTGACGGGGCCTCCAAAAAGTTAATACATGTATTCTAGTTCAATATAAGCCAAAAACGACTTAATCTTACAAATACATGAATTAACTTAATACACCTTTGAAATTACAACTTCCAAACGACCTCTAGCTATTCAAATTTGAGACTTTTAGATTTAAAATCAGTAGTAGAACCACTAAACCAAACTCATTGTGTATAGAGAAGTGAACACGTGTTAAAATGATGATAAATCAAGGATAATCATGATTAGTTAAAATGAATTAGTTGACCACACTTACTAGTTTCTTCGAGTAAGCAAAATTAATGCACGAGTTAGATAACACTAGAAAGGATTCACCATCCTCCAAACGACCTCTTATTGGATTAATCTATGAAATGCATGGCTTATATTAATAGACTACTGACATTGTAGATCACGATACTAGATGGTATGTTATATCAATGTAACATTATGATATACTATTGTAGCACTAGACTTAACCAGACCTGCTAACGATCACTATTAATTCAATGGCTTCAGCTCGGATGTGCAACGAGTTGGTCCATATCAAAGTGTACCTAAAAATACTAATGCTTAGGTCGAACCATATCGAACTGAATATAAATATGGTATGACTAAAGAAAAATAATGCATCGATTTGACATTTGATTGGATCAAACCAAATTGAATGCACTGTTGGTTTGGTTATTGATCATAAAATATTTTTTCACTATTGGATCAAAATTCTCATGTGTTTGATCTTATCCGAACCAGACCTAATTGTTGTTCACCCCAAGCTTAGCTCGATATTGATAATTTGATATATAAGATATGGCCACAAATAATAGCTGTTAATCCAGCTATTGAGTTCAAGTTGGGTCGGGGTATAATCTAAGATAAGAGGTCGGGTAGCCTTACGCCGCCCAATAGGGGTTTGGGTTGAGGCCTGAGGGAAGACAATAGGGCTTTAAGCCCGTTTGTGGGTAGGAACGGATAAAGAACCCACACGAGTTTTTCCTTTCAAGTGTGCCCCTCGGACGAGGCCTTAGTTAGCTGCTGGCCCAGTAATGAGAAAAAAAGAAAGAGAAGCCTTGTGGCAGTGAGTCAGTGAGCCAACTAAAAGAGGAAAAAGAAAGAAAGAAAGAAAGAAGAGGGCATTTAGCTGGGTGGACTGGAATTGGAAGTTGGACTTAGGGATGGCAAATGACACCCAATCCATCGGTAGCTAACCGATCCAATTTTGTCAAAGCAAGTAAAATTTAGCGTTGATAGATTTTGTGTTGGGTACAAATTTTCCCATTTTGTGGTACAGACGAGGGGAAAGGAACATGCTTGATTTTCACTGTGGGCGGTCATCATCTCGCAATTACATACCATATGCAAACCAATGATTATAAAATTGTATCGAAGGTTGCACAAAAAAAAAAAAAAAAATTAAGCGGTAGAATATTTTATACTAAAATAATGAATTAAATGTGATTTAAATTGTTTCATACCGCTAAACTATCTATTGATTTAAACTTCAGAATGATGTTTTCTCAGTCGAACCGTGAGTACAGTACATCATGATTTTGCAAACACTAATTAAATCATCAACAATTAATTAACAATTAGATGGAGCTAAGCAGTCAAGATTAAGGGGATGAATTAATTAACGTCATCAACAAACTTAATATTCTATACAAATCTTTTCGACGCTCAACTTTATGGGGTACTATTTTTTTTTACAAAAGATAATAATATATATTGATTAGAAGAATAGGCAGTTACATCTTGGAATTAAGCCAGACACGAAAATCAAATAAGCGACTTGTAGTCGGGTACAAAGAAAGGACCTTCCTAGCCACCAAATGAGCTACCCTATTGTTACGACGACCTACAAATCCCACACTAAGCCTACTATGACTTGCGAAATAATGCACAACCTCCTCAAGAATAGCCTCCAATCGGTTATCCCGGGTATCAGCCCGATTGATCTTATCAATGATCTTGGCATCGCCTTCAAACCTTGTCTCCGTAAATCCTTGACTTAGATACCAGAGAATAGCCTCCCGAAGAACAAGCAGCTCCACAACCATAGGATCATAAAATACCATAAATTGTATCCTTTGAGGAATCGATTTGATGGCACGACAAGTTGCCGGGTCAAACCAGTGGCTATGTTTTTGGTCACACCAACATCCCTCCCCTTTGCAAATAACCTCTTCTATCGGCAGGTCTCCACCCTCAGGCAGCACCTGGGGGTTACACATCAGAGGGTTGGGGTGTAAGCGAGGAATCCAATTGGAATTAAGCAGAAACACTGTCTCACCATTACCAATCTGCCACCGTATTCCCATCTCCAATAGTTGACACCCATAAAGAATACTTTCCACCCCCCAGATGGCCGAGAACGGGCAGTAGCATTCAAGAAAGTTCCATGTAGAAAATATTTTCATTTATACACATGGGCTAATAGGGAAGTAGGGTCATTGAGGATACACCATCCAACTTTGGCAAGGAGTGCCCGATTAAAATGATCAAACCGACGGAACCCCATTCCCCCATAGTGTTTGCTTCTGCACATATTCCTCCATGACATCCATCGAATCCTCGAATGGTCTTCCTCAACCCCCCACCAGAACCTAGCCACATGTTTGTCCAACAGGCGACAAAGAGAAAGAGGAAGTTTGAAGCAAGACATAACATGCAATGACAGAGCTAAGGCCACTAATTTAATCAGAGTCTCCTAGCCTGCC